AAGTCAGAGTTTATTTCCCAGTCTTTCTACTGTACACCACAGAGAGGTTCTGAAGCAGATGCCTTTACTCTTGATCAGACTGTTCACTGTGAACCTAGGGATACTGCTGCTAAGTTGTGAAAGTTTAAAAGTCACCTTTTTGTTCTCCGTGGTCTAAGAGACTCAGGAATTCAAGGCTCCATCAACTCCCAGAGTTAAGTTATTTAGGAACCAGTTCCTCAGGTGAAAGCTGTAAAAGTTGGGGAACTCAATACATGCATCAACTACTCCAAGGAGAGTCTACAAATATGAAATTACTGCTGGAGTAAGTCAGGAAAGAAGGTGCAAGGTGTACCCACTCTTCTGTTTAATCAAGCAGAAGTCTCACACCCTCCTAGCAGGGGGAGACTCCTGGTCTTGAGTTTTTGCTGAAGCAAGCAAGGAAGGAAGGTGCAGGGAGTGCCCACTTTCCCTTTCAGGCACATAGAGGTCCCTCTCTCTCATTACAATGAGAGACTACAGGAGTTTAGCTCTAGAGCAAGCCAGGGAAGAGGGCATGAGGAATGCCACATCTCCCACTTTTGTCAGCAGAGGCTTTCAACATCTTTCCATGGAAGGATTTGGGGGCTAAGAATATTGCTGGAATAAGCCAGGAAATATGGCATGGGGAGTGCTGTCCCTCCTGTTTAGGCTCAAGGCAGTTGAGTTTATTTGCTATGTAGGCTCCAGGATACTGACTTATTAGGGACCAGAAGCACAGGGGGCTGTTGGAAAAGCATACAGCCAAACCCTTTCCAGGGGAAAGTTAGAAGCTGGGCTGATTCCAGAGGCCACAGCTATTGGGAGTGCTTGTGTGGTTCAAAACTCCCCTTTGTGCTTGAAGGAAGTCCTCAGATGCCCTGTCCCTGCTGTTCCTCAAGCAAGGTGATTTAAGGGCCAAACTTTCCAGCAGGGACTATAAAATTTGGGCACTATATGTGTGGTACATGCCTCTCACCCCTTGGGAAGAAGCTGGGAGTCAGAGTTTCCTTCCCAATTATAAGGCATTGTGCTCAGGGAGGACTTAGTCCTTGAGTCTATCTCCACTTTTCCTACCTGTTTTAATGTGGATATTTTCTCAGTTGTTCCGTGTGTCTTTCAACTGAATTCTGGCTTTCTCTGGGGTAGAATTAATCTGTGTGTAGGTGTTTACTTGGTGTGTCTGTGGGAGGAGGGATAGTTAGGAGCCTTCTATTCTGCCATATTGCTGATGTCCTTTCTGAATACTGTTTTTAAACTAAATGTTGGATTTAGTTAATTCCATCCAGAAAAGACATCTAATCTGTCTTTTCCAAGTATCTACAACTTCATCTTCTTTCTTGGGACTAAATGTCACATATGGTTAGTCTTTTCTTTTTCCATAAGATTGTGCATACCAGAAGTTGTGCCTTTAATTAATTGAATTTCTGTATTTTCTCAACATGGTGCAATATTTTTCTGAGAAAAATAAATACGATAATTCTATGACCTCTGCCTTGTGATTGGGATGGGAAATCTATGAACCATAGTTTACTTTTATCCTGTGAAAGTGATTTCCATATATGGAGAACAAAGGCAAAGTTTAACTTTATAAGCCAATTTTGTTTTATGCAGGTTCGGTGAAGTGGTACTTTGGTAATTCAAATGTTTTTCTCCCCCCACTCCTCCTTCCTCTCTCCAATCTTTACTCACAGTTCTGACAAAAGGAATAGTTTACAGTCCCTGACCTTTCATTTACCCTTCCATACCCACACACACAAAAATGCATGAAAACGGAATATTTTATACTTTTTACTCTACAAAAATAAATGTTCTTGATTATTTTGTGTACTACTTTAAATTTTTGTAGAGAGTATCTTAAACCAAACAGAATGAAGACAGAATAATCAAGGAGCTTATATGAAATTATTACTAAAATGGAGATAAAAATATTCTTGTGAGAAATATAACCAAAGAAATATAATCAATTAGGGTTAAACCTTTAAAATAGTCATCTACAGAATGCTGATATAATTCAAAGCATGTTGAGAACTTTCAAAACATTGCCTTTGATGATTTTATGTTACATGCTTTTTTAAATGCCTATTTTATAGTTACTCTTTTTTCCTTTAACGAAAAACAGTATCAGCTAGTTGGAGCATCAACTTTACTGGGAAGACTTGACTTCAAATAAATTTTGACTACCAAAGTTATCCTTAAAGAGAAGAATAGTAGCCAATTTTGAGGATATTAAGATATTTTGCTCTATGAATGCTACACAGTTTGAATAATATTATCTTGTGTTTGTATAGTTTACAGTGATTTTGAATACATTTTCTCATTGGAGCCTCATGACAATTTTAAGAGATGGTAATAGCCATACTGCATATGAAAATACCAAGGGTTAGTGGGGTTATGTGATTTACCCAATATTGTAGAACCTTGAACTTGGCAGAAGGTCTAACTCTTCTCACTCTTAATTTAGCTAAGCACATCACACTGCTTTGCAATTCTACACATTCTGGTGAAGTTGTGATTTTTCTTTTAATTTTATATAAAATTAATTTTCATATATATTATAAGAACATAATTTATACTGTTAGCTCTATGAGATAATTTTGATGAAGACATATACTTCAATGAAAACTAATAAGTTTTGGTACTGAAAACATCCTTAAGTTTGCCTTTTGGATTTATACATTCAGATTAATAACTAAGCAGATGTAAAGCCATAAATCTTCATTTACAAATTGTCAGACATCTGATACCCTAACAGTCATTGTATCAGAACAACCAATCATCAATAATAATTTTAAAATCTGGACTCATTCAAAGGAAAATAGATAATAATGCACCCTTTCTTTTAATGGCCATAATATGCTCTGAAATAAACTAAAAATAAGATTGCTTTGTTGAATATTAAAAGTAGCTTCATGCTAATGGAAAAAGGCTTGGTAATTATTCCTTCATACAGGACATTTGCAAAAAGTTATTTTCTTGGGAAGCAAGAAAATGCTGTTGGATTCTCATTATTAACTCATTCCTGTTTTTCTATCAGATTCCAAATCTCATAAAAATTGGGTTAATTTGTATGACTTGAGAAACAGTATATACCTTCTCTAACTAGAAAAGATGTACTGCTTCAGTCAAACTTATAAATAATATATTGTTTTAAAAAATAAGGTTTCTGACTTAGAAGACATATGGTGAATCTTCATGAAGTCAGGGAGAAAAGAGTTGCTGTCATGAAATGTGTTCCATTAGAATTGTCAGGGGAACAAACTGTACTTTCCATAATTCTTTTACTTTTTCCTGTGAATATGTGAAATGTTTTCTGTTAAATGCACAGTATTTATGTTCTATTTTAATTCCACTCAAAAGGTATACTATATATCTATTGTATATAAAATGGAATTAAAAGCAATGCTGGAAAGGAGAAAACAATTGGGGTTCTCTCTTTAGGGGTAAGAAAGTAGTTGATTTGGGAAAGACTCCATGGAGGAAGTAACATTTCAACAGAGTCTTAATTAGTGAAAAGGACACTTGAGGGAGAGACAAACAAGAGAAGGGAGACTATGTTTTTTGGTGTGGCAAAAACACAAAGTATGTTGGGATATGGCTAGAAATAGAGACGTAAAGCTAGATTGGAGTCATCCTGTAAATTATTTTAACCACCAAGCAAGAAATTTCAGTCCTTATACTATAGTCAGTCATAGTAGGGACTTCTGGTTTTATTTTAAATACTTTAAAAATATTTATTAGAATAATACATGCATAAGATTTAATAATCAAATAGTTTATAAGGACTTATAATGAGAAAACCATAGGTAATTATCCCACCCTTATACACTCCCATTTTAACCAATTTAAGATGATTGTATTAGATTTGTTAATTTAGGACATTATCCATAGACTTTCTGTCATAGCACAAGAGTATTTAGCTAACTTATACCATATGTCTACTACTTCATTCATTCCCCTCAATGTGAATACATCATTATTTTCAGCTCCTGTATTGCTCACCATTGTAACCTTAAAGAATATATTTAGATGCTGATTTCCTTGTTCATCAACTGTATAAAGTATCCCTTGACTCTTTGCCATGTAAAATGATGTATACTAGTACTTCTATTTTTACGATTTGGTTTTCTTCCCCCTTGAAGTCTACTTTATCTGACATTAATATATGCTTTTATTAATATTTGTACAATATATATTTTTCCATCCTTTTCCTTTCAACCTGCTTATATCATTATATTTGAAAGGAGTTTCTTGTAAATAACATATATTAATAGTTAGGTCATGTTTTTAATCTACTCTGTACTCTTTCAATGGGTGTACTTAGGCCATTTATATTTAAGATAGTTATTGATATGTTTGTTGGAGCTTAAGTCTGCCATATGTTTTTTTTTTTGTTTGTTTCCTTTTTGTTCTCTTTTTCATTTCAATTTTTTTCCAGCCTTCCTGTGGGTTACATAGATATTTTTTAGAGTTTCATTTTACCTATAGTTTTTTGGAGAGTATCTGCTTTACAATTTTTGACTACAGGTGTGTGCCACCATGCCCAGCTAGTTTTTTTTTTTTTTTTTTAATTTTTTGTAGAGGTAGGGCCTCACTATGTTGCCCAGACTGGTCTCTAACTCCTGGCCTCAAGCAATCCTCCCACCTTGGCCTTACAAAGTGCTGAGATCACAGGCAGGAGCCACCAGGCCCAGCTTCCATAATACTTTTGTATGTCTCTGTCATTTCACTTGCTACATTATTTCAAAAATATCTATTTGTATGCCTTGTTTTGTTTACAGGCTTTGAGGACAGCGATCATATTTTGCTCATTTTTGTATTTATAGTACTTATCATAGGGTCTATACAGAGGAGATAGTTGAAAAAGCAATAAATAATAGTTTACACTGTGCTACAAAATACTTGAAATAGTTCCTAAGGGTAACTAAACAAACTAAAATATTTTCATTTATCACTGTTTTCTTTCAAAATCAAGAAAATGTCAAAAGCAGTCACAAACTTACATGTGTCTCTCTTTCTGGATACAGTTCCTGGCCAGTAGGAATAACTGATTTGTTCCATTTGGTATGAGCATCCTTAATTATCCAATCATCCTAGAAGTAAATAAGTCCTATTTGAGAAAAAAGACAAAAATCGATGGAGAAAGATTTTCTTTCTCATTCCTCAATTATTAGCCAAAGATTAAACAATTGGTCTCCTACCTTAAGCACTTTTTACATTAAAAATTTTTGATCTGTCTATAGGGATGTACCAGTGAGTTTATAAACTGGACTTTTGAGCTTATCTAGCATGAATTTTGCCAATTCACATTTGCCTTTACCAAGTAAGACTGCTAAATGTTCAGATGAAAATGAATCTAACATCTTGAATGTGAGAACATTCTCTAGATTTAGATATTTTGTAAATAATGATAAAGCTCAAAATGAAGGCTTTATATCAGGGTGTTTGTTTTGTTTCTTATCCTGTAACATTAACATGGGGGGGTTCATAAATTATGGGGTTATCTTATGGAGCCCTAATGATTAGGGAAAATGCAGTCTTTTCAAATTTGAAATCGAGTTGCTACTGTTGCTGCTGCTGATTTACTAGGCCATGCTGGACTGGCCTACTTTATCCAAGCAGAGTTTCAGCAGAGCTCACTCCTTCTGGGAGTATTTATGGCCTTCCTATATCAGATCTGTGCCAAGTGGTCAAGCTGTACCTAAGCAGCAGCATGGTGGTAGCTGCTAAGTTGGGTTGTCACACTTCCACAGATTTAGCCAGTAAGGAGACAACAACTCCAAATGGATATACAAAGTTTTTTACACAGATGGCAATGCAAGATCAACATAGTGTCAGCTCCCCATGTTCCTAGAACCACAGGATGATACCAAATCCAAGGGGCCAGATGATAGATGACAAGAGTGGTAGGTCACTCTGTTGTTGAGGAGCCAACTCTAATGTACAGCTAAACAGTTCTATCATCTGAAGGCATATATGAAGTTGGGGCAAGATGGAAAGTCCCATGTTTCGCTAGAACCAGGGTGGCAGATAAGAAATGGACTTGAGGTAGATCCTCACAAGACTGACTATCTTACCATGTTCTGGGTAGGATCACAGGGCACTCTTCCAAAACATGCATCAGAATGTGAATGATCCTTGCCTACATGGCCTATGTGGAGATGTGTAAGATCACCAGAGTGCCATGGCAAAATTGCTACCCAAAAATCTGATGAGGAGGGAGGATTTAAAAGCCAGCCCAGTTTAAAGGGTGCCATCATTCTATAAGTGATGAAAGTATAATCAGATAAGAGTAGGTATCATTATTAGTGTCTGGAACTTCATCAGAAAAGAGTAATGCATGTGGTAGTGGATAAATTGGAGAATTATCATTCATTGTGGAGCCATCTGAATAAAATATACACATAGGTAGGCTATGAGAAAAGATAGAAGGAAAATCAACTTGTGAAAAAGTTAATGCCCTATATACCAAGCCTCCCCATTCTGACATCCAGTTCTTTCATAGATCTTAATAAGGCCATTAAGGAGATCAAAGCTGACAAAACTACCAGATTTTTTTCAGTTATTAGAACAGCATCATTTTTGCATTTCACATAATTTTCCACTTTTTTTCTACCTGAAATTCTTTGTTCATTGGGCTATCATGACACTGCATTCTCTTGATTTTGCTTATAATTTACTTATCTTTTCTTTCTTTTCTGTGGGCTTCCTCCATGGGCATCTCATATCCTCCCTGTCTCATTCATCTTATTTCAGTATTGACTGTTGAATCTGTATCTTCAGCCCATGCTGAATTTCACATTCCTATATGTGAGTGCAGAAACTGCCTACCAGAAGTCCCTTCTTGAATGTCCCATATGTACCTCATGTTTAGGAATGTCCAAGGCAGAATTAATATCTCAGATCGCTTCCCCCTTTCAAGTCTGTTACTTCTATGTTTTATGTCATATGGAGAAGAAATAATTTAACCATTTGTCCAAGCTAGAATCCTGGAAATCATTCTTGATATTGCTCTTTTCCTAACCTCCCATATCCAATCAATCATCAAGGTCTCCTGGATATTTATTAAATACATCTCCTCTCTCTATCCCCACCTCCACTCCTCTATTTCTGATCTGAATCATCTCTTTCCTGGTCTGTTGCCACATCCTCTGAATTGACATTCCCCTGGCCCCATCCTATCCTTCTTAAATCTGTTCTCCATGTCTGCCAGAGTAGTCTGTATAAGATATAAATATATGACCAAGTCATTTCATTGCTTAAAATCCTTAAATGTCTCTATCTTGGATCGTTTGAATTTTTTTTACATGATCTGGCTGTTGCCCAACCCTCCCACTTCATCTCCTGTCACCTCTTGCTTTGTATTTTAATGTCAGCCATTTAAGTACCTATCCATAGTGCTCTATAATTTTGTTGACAATGTCCTTCTGCCTATAAGCCCTCTTTGGCATTATTACTTGGCTGTTATCCTTTAAGACCTAAAAGAGGCATTATCCTTGCCATACAGTCTTTCCCCTAGCTGTTACATATTATACTTCTCTTCTTATAGTACTGGGCACATCTATCATTGCACTTATCACACTATCCAATTAACTGAAAATGTTTCTATTTCCCCTACCAATCTACGAGAATCTTGGTCATCTTTGCAGCCATAAAATCAAGCTAATTTTTCTAATCAAAGGATACAACTGGGCCAGCACACTGATTGCACTCAAAGAAATGTTTGTTGAAAAAGAGTTTATATGCCCTTCATTCATAGCTGCAAAGTGCACTGGAAACTTCCCTGGTGGGCAAGGGCTCTGTGTTAAGACAAATAGGTTTCCTAAACTTGGTGGGCTCTGGGATTTTTATTAGATCATGATTAACATAGTAGGGGGGAGCCCTGGAAAGATCCCTATAAAAACACTTTTGGGGTAACCTCAACTCAAGCCAACTTCTCTTCACACAGAGAGTATTTTGCTGTAAATCTTGGTTGAGAAAGGACATGATTTGATTTAATACAGTTTATCCTATAGGCAGAATAGCAAAGAAAGGATTCTACTAATTTAATTATCTTCTCTGGGTGCATCTCCCTATTAATCTAAAGGGAAATTTGGCCCAGAGCAGTGCACTGAATGCCCATCTACACTTAAGGTCTCTTCTTACTTGCTGCTCTGATGATTGGAGGCTTAGACAGATTGCTATCAGGTGGTTGGTCATAGCAGAGGCTTTAGTTCTTAATTCGTAGCTGTTAGTTGAATTAACCTGGGAAGAAAATAACATTATTTTAGAAATTTTGCTGAGCTTTCTCTGGAACAAGTTTTATACATATTTTTCTTGGGAATAACTTGTGTTAGGCATTATCCTTTCCATATATTCCTCCCCCCAGCTATTAGTCTTATCATAATTGCCTAGCTAATTTTTCTGATCAAGGGATACAGCTTTTGAAATTATAGGAAAGGTCTGGGCAAAAATAAATGGAATAAAGGAGGTTTCTATCCTTTCCTCTATTTTAGGACATGGACTACCCTCATAGCTCTTCTGTGTTGTCACTTCTCAATACTCATTAAAAGACAAAAGAAAAAATAATTTATGATAAAGTATCATTTAAAAAGAAACCTAAAAATTAGACAGCTATAGCAAAAATACAAAAATCTAAGCAAATCGGAAAAATTACCAGAAACGGCTTTGCAAGACATTTTGTTTAAATGTTAAGTAACTAAAAACATTAAAACATGTCTTCCAAGCAAGTCTGAGGCCTGATGCCGAGTGTCTTAGCAGAAGAAATGGTAAATGAAGATTTAGGCCCACATAAGATAGCCTAGGTTGGAAAATGTAGAAGTCAGAGATACTCAGCTTGCCACCCCAGAAGAAATATTCACATTACTTACTCCTCTCTTTGACTCCTAAGAGACAAACGCTTGAAGACCCTTCTTCCAGTGGAAGGCTCCCTCCCTATCTGACCTAATCTCTATAAGTCAGATCCATTGAGCACCCAGATTCTAGCTAGAGGACCATTTCTGAATCCCATGTCTGAAGCTAATCATAACCATTACTTCTACTATAAAATCTTAACAGAATATTTTGATCAAGAGATTTAAATTTTTATTGATATCTAGAAAGAAAAGAATTAAAAAGATAAAACTATAACAACTAGTGCCATAAATTATATTAAGGGAAAAAAAGATAATTTAAAGTGACTCATTTTGATATGGTGCAAACATCTTGCATGTTGTCTCCAACTAATTTAATTACTTTAATATTTCTACTGCCTGCTTCCAAAAAGAGTCTAAGCCTGTTTCCAAAGAATCAGTTTGGCTTTTATATCTAGACTGTTGAAGTATGTGTGACATCATACTATTTAGTGAATTCTGTGTTGATATGTATTTTACAACATACTATTTCCCCTAATCTTTGACACTGTATTTTGCATTACGAGAAGGCAAAATTAAGCTGCTAAAGTTTGTATACTTACACAATATGGAGCAAGACATTAACATTTTGAACAGGCAAAAATATAAAAACTAGATTTTTTAAAAAGTTGTGGACAGAAAAATAAAGAATTTAGCCAAGTCATTAAAGAATAAAGGAGTGAAGGTAATAATGATTTAATCCTTTCTTCTTCCCCCCAAATCAAGAATTTTGAAGTAAAAAACCAGTTATGTTCTGAACAAATTAAGTGAAATAATTAATTCTTATTATATTGTCAAAATCAAAAGCAAATACTGTTTTGTAAGGGAAACCTTCAGATTTAGGGCAAACACTTAAGGCCTTGGTGAAATCTATTAGTGTAACTGTACACCTACATTTTGGTTCAGTCATTTTTAGTTCTTATTTTTTATAGTTACCTTAGACAAAATAAATTTCTCACTGTAATATAAATAAGAACATGTACAACTTAATTCTGACATAGGGTCTTCCTCAAAATCCTCTTTCCCTTGGATCTTTTTTTCCCATCTTCTTTGGCACTGGTTTTTTCATGAAATACACATCTCTTTTATTTTTACTGCATCCTGGTTTTCAGCATTTATTTTGATTGATATTCCACTCCATGCAAGTGATCTCACTTTGAACTTGTATGCAATTATGATGCACAGTATGGTTGCTTGTCGTGCAAGCCTAGTCTCGATGTGCAATTTGATGTCTCAGCCAAATTTGGTCACTTTCTTCATTCTCACAGTTGCTGTTTAGGTACTGTAGGTCACAAACAATTATGGTAACTCTCAGATTTCTTTGTAGTTATTTCTGATGAGACATAATTAGTTAATTTTCAACGGACCTTCCATTCACTTACTGTTTTGTGACACTGATGCAGGACCTTTTACTAGTTTTAAAAGTTCATTTTCTGGAATTACCTTAATTGGTATTAAAATCATGCATCATAACCTCAGATAAATTACTTAACTTCTTTAGCCTTATTTATTAATTTATTCAACATTTATTGATCTATGTGTAATAAGCTTGGGGATAGTAAGTGAATCCGATAGCTAAGGTTTTCTCATCTGTAAAATGTGGCTAATTATGGAGCTGTTTTGAGGATAAAATGTATGTAAGGTCCTTAGGACCATGCTCAGTAAGTGTTCATTGTCATTATTAGCAGCATTATTTTGATAAAATTACTTTTAACATCTCCCTATGACTATAACCTCTAACCATTCACAATGTATCTATTACATTTTTTTAATATGAAGCAACTCCATAAATTACTGACACTACAAATGGTCTTTTTTAGCAATATTGATGTAATGTTCTTTGACTCTATTGGAATGTAAGCACTCCAAAATACAAAACTTTTCACACTTGGTCAGCTAAGAAAAAACTATAAAACAGAACCATTATCTGGATAATGAAAGGAAGGTGCTACCTGTGTCTTCTGAGTGTAGATTTGTCTAGATAACCTAAATTTCTTTCCAAAATTTTGCATATACTTTTAGTTTGGATTATTAGGAAAATAAGTAACAAGCCTAAATACAGGCCATCTTAAATTTTACTTGTATTATTACTAGCATGAAAGTATCACAGTATTTTAACTACTGTGGTTTTAGGCTGTGTATTGGGGTTAGGGTCTTCAGTTCACACCAGTTGAAGAAAGTGGCAGTTCTGTGTTTCATGAAATTAAGCTAGAAAAAACCAGGTTATTGTAGGAACTGGCAATACATTATTGAAATGGTTATTAAAAGAGTTTCTCTTTTACTCAATGGAGATTTTTAACATATTAACTGTCATGTGAGTTGTATTTAACTCATGCTAGTTTTGAGCCTAGGGCTTCCTGAAGCATATGTTAACTCACATGTCTCTTTACCTTGGGAGCCACGTGAACTGTTTTTCAAGTTGCATATAACTCACAGACAGAAAACAATAAAAAAATAAAAAATTTTTCATTAAATTAGAAAGGATTGGGTTTTTCCCCAAAGTTTTTATTCTATTTTCGTAATGAAACACCGTGACCCCAAGGAAAAAATTTTTTTTTCTAGTGTGGCAGTCAATGTGTTAAGAATGACAGGGAGAAAACACTTATAATGGTGGTAGAGAGTTTGCTTCTTTGCTCTGGGATTATTTGTCAGTTAAAGTGAAGCCTCGTTAAACAAACTGTATTTTACTAAGGGTTGCATAGTACCCTGTGTAAGAATTTTGAAGAAAATGAGTTTGGAAAAATCATGTTGTTTACAATTTGTCTCTCATTTTAAGTCCCACTGTTACCCTTCAGTTCTTATATAAGAACATCTGAACACAAAATGACATCCTCTAAAATAGGTACTGGGAGCTGTGTTGGAGGAGTTGGCCGAAAACCTGAAACAGAGCCTGTTAAAAAGGCACGTGGACCAGAACCTGTCTCAGGATCACCAGGACAAGCGGATTTAAGGTGACAGCCTCCACGCCTGACAATCCCAGGCCCCGCTCGTCACCCGGGGGAGATGGACAGCACTGGCCCTCCTGCCTCGTCATCGCTGCGTTTCTGGCTGGCGGAGCCCGGTTCTCGTCCACGGCAGTCAGTCCACGCCTCCGTCTCCGCAGGGGTGCGCGGGTCTCGGGAATCACCTCGGGAGCCCACTCAGCTGCGGGGAGGAGGGAGCGAGCGAGAACGAGGGAAGCCCAGGCTCTCGCTGTAACCCCGACGCTCAGCAGTGTTCCCCTCCCCTCGGTGGCGGGGCGTAGGTACCTCCTCAGCCCCCTCAGCTGCCAGCGTTCAACTGGTGGGCAGCCTGTACCGCTGAGGCTGCTGCTGCCCCTGCCGCCGCTACGTCCCCTCAAAGGTCCCCCAGAGCCGCGCTCCAGCCGCCCGCACCTAATTGACTGACTGACCCCGGGCTCAGACTCCTGCTGCCGCCACCACCGCCGCCGCGCACGCGCTCCTCGCGCGCCTCTGTTCCCGGGCCGCCCCTAGGGCGGGAACGCCAGGCGGCGGGCAGCCCGCACCTGCCTGCCTGCCAGACAGACCCTCCGCTCCGGCCTCGTGCCGGCACGCGCACGCGCCTCGCGCGCCTGCCGTCGGCCCTGGGGGCGGGACCGCGCGGCAGCGAGCGGGCGGGGGGCTCGTGGCGCGCGCGCCCCGCACCCGAGGGCTGCGGAGAGATATTTTGGGTGGCAGGAGGCCCCTCGTCATTTCCGCCGGGCAGCTAGTCGTGCCGGGGGCTTCACTCCCGTGAGTGAGGCTAACGGGCAAGTTGACTGCGGGCGGGCGGCGGCGGCGGCGGCGGCGGCGGCGGCGGCGGCTCCGTCCCTCGGCGGCGCCGCGACCCTCGGCAGCTCCAGCTATGAACTGAAGCCCCGCAGGGACAGAGACCCGAGAGGAGCGGCGGAGGCAGCAGTAGCAGCCGCCTCAGCCGGGACTGAACAGACCCGGCTTGGAGCCGCGACCCCGGCGGGTTTCCCTCCCCGTCGCCGTTCTCACCACTGCTGCCAGCCTTTGGCTTAGAGACATTACAGCCACGAGACCCGACACACAAAAGCCGCTTTCTCCGCGCCGCCCGCCCGGTGAGGCTGCGGTCAGCTAGGGACCCCACCTGAGGGAGGCTCGGGCTGCTGAGTTCGTTTTGTGTCTGAGCTCCGCGCAGGGCGCGGAACGGACTCAGTGCCCATGGCTCTGATAATGGAACCGGTCAGCAAATGGTCTCCGAGTCAAGTAGTGGACTGGATGAAAGGTAATGCCCGCTGTGGGGAGGACGAGACGGCACTGGGGTGCGGGGTCCCTGCGCTAGGTTAGGAGGGGACGCCCGCCGCTGCAGAGCCCGCCATCGGGGCTTCCACCGGCCGATTGTGGTACGCTGGGGGGCGGAAGGGGTCCTACGGAACTGGAAGGGGCCCGGGGTCCTGGGTC